CTACGTTCAGATTCGGATTCAGATTCAATAGGTCACGGCATTTAGCCTTCCAACTAAAGGTCAGTTATTATTGCCTGGTAATAATAATTCAGGCCTCCAGTTAAGCTGCTAGCTTTAAAATAAAGCCGATGATCTAATAATAGACATGAAAAATCAGAAAGCTGTTATTGTGTTGGCAACTCCAATAAGCCCAAATAAAAAGCTGTGAAAATTTTTCTCACTGGCATTCAAGACAGTAAGTAAGCTAAATTGTGAGCTCATATACATTTTCCCCCATGAAATTCAATGAATGTCTTTTCAATTCAAATGCAGCCTCTACATGTTTTTATTATTCCAGACTTGACTCCTATGCAACAAAGCTAGGTTATCACTAATCTAAACATTCTGATGTGGAGAAGGAAGATGAAAGAGGAGTCCAGGATATCTTTATTAAAAAGTGAATCTCCATATTTGACTGAACTCCAAACTAACGAATTTGTGTACCCAAGTCTCTGTTTTAACCTATACTATTCTTCTGGTTGAAGGTGTAACTTTATTCAAAAGGGTATTAATATCATAATGCTGTTTTATTCCATAAGAAAGATAGCAAGAGGTGAAAGAAGCCCACCAAACATTTTAAAAAGCACAAGACTTTCTCATCTGATTTTATCTCCTAACACACTGATGTCAATTTCTCAAAATGCATACAAACATACTTAAATATTTAACTAAAATGCTGAACAAGTCATAGAGCAACTGAAAAATAAAACATGGCAGGTTCTGCCCTTTCTTTTGGGGTTATGAGTACCAACTGGTCTGATTCATCTTTAAGAAGCCGTTGGTTTCTAACATGGGGTTTATACCTACAAGGCACACAGGAAAGGAGACTTGAGGGAGAGAACAGAAAAGTTTGCTCAGTATGTGACAGTCACTTGATCACCCTTGCCTCTCTGTGCCAGTGATGGTACTTGTGTTCTGAGAAATGAAATGTTCATGCTACAATGTGGTATATCACATAATTTCAATAGTTCATTAAATTCAACTGAAACAAGGCCTAGCCAGTAAATTATTGCAAATGAGAGTTTTTTAAAGGCAGGAAATGACAGATTTATGATGTTGTGGCCGTTCTGTCTAGATTTTCTTAACGGAGTAGTATTAGGAAAAGAAATCTTATATATAAAATAAGAACTCTCGGCTAATATTTTAGTTTAAACAGAAATCCTGCTACGATTCTCTCCCCCACCTTGATACTCATTTTTTTTCCTAAATGATTCTTTTTTTTTAATGTTTTTTAAATTTATTTCTGAGAGAGAGAGACAGCGTGAGTAGGGGAGGGTCAGAGAGAGAGGGAGATACAGAATCCAAAACAGCACAGAGCCCGACACGGGGCTCAAACCCACTAACTGTGAGATCATGATCTGAGCCGAAGTCGGACCGTTAACCGACTGAGCCACCCAGGCGCCCCTAAATGATTCTTAAATAAATCTCACACTACCTCCCCTCATTCTTTACTTCCTCCTCATATATCACCACTCTTTTCTCACTACCCACCCAGATCCATTCATCTTTCATAAAATAGTGCACATTCCACTTCTTCCTTGAAGCCTTTCTGGATTAATGAAGTTCCCAAGTCTGCTACTAATCTTGCTATTCAGAATATTGTGTAAATGCTTGTATATCAGATCTCCTAGTTGACTCTTGGGGCCTTGCAAACTGGAAGCATCTCTTCTTTGTGTGGCTTTTGGACTTTTTGGAACACAATGCATAATAAGATATACATTCTACATCATAGTCCAATGTGTATATATACATATAGATATATATTTAATTAAAAAGTTCCATGAACTATACTTACTTATTCTTCTATTCTGTTTTACTCTACTTCATTTTTTGAAAATAAAAATGCCATCAGACCCAGTAAACTGACTTCACAGTGGGTTGTGACCAGTTCTAGAAGGGCACTCATTGATTACCATGGGGTTGCTATGTACATTTCCCTCACTTAAGACATAATTTAAAAATTGTGTGAGACCTTTTGGCTCTCTTTAGCACGTGTTTCTAAGTTACTCTTTTTTTTATTTTATCCAGTTTTTCATACCATCATATTTTTGCCTTTTGGAGTCATCAGGGATGATGAAATCCCTACTATATACAGTACTTTCCATCTTTTTGCCCTGAGCACTGTTGACATAAAAACAAGATCCTCTGCATCCTATAAAACTCCAATCTCAGGGCACCTGGTGGCTCAGTTGGTTAGGCGTCCGACTTCAGCCCAGGTCATGATCTCACAGTTCGTGGGTTCGAGCCCCGCATCAGACTCTGTGCTGACAGCTAGCTCAGCGCCTGGAGCCTGTTTTGGATTCTGTGTCTCCCTCTTTCTCTGACCCTCCCCTGTTCACACTGTCTCTATTTCTCTCTCAAAAATAAATAAAACATTAAAAAATTAAAAAAACCTCCAATCTCCATTCTCTCTTTCCCTTTTATTCTCACAATATTCAAAGTAGGGGGTAGACATTTCACAGATGAAGAAACTGAGACACAGAGGATTATGACTTTTTCAAGGGTACGTCTCCTATTTAATCAGGTCATTACAAATTAATGAATAGAATTTCTAGATATTTGAAGGCTAGATCGTTGGGTGATGTGAACAACACAGAGCCTCTGTGTGTACGCACGTACCTAACTCATCCAGGTCAAACGGTTTACTGACCAGATGAGTTAGAGGCCTGAAGGACTTCAGTGTGAAGGTGGATCTGCTTCCTTTCACACTCATCTTTTCATCTCCATCTTCTCTCAGTATCTCACCCACCTAGAGCTACCTGTTGTTCCCAGCCCTCTTCATATTTGGTCCCTGTACCAGGACTGCTCCTCTCTCTCTTTACCAGACTAGTTCCTCTCGTTCTTTGGGTCTCTACACATGGTCCTCGTCCTCTCTACCTCCACGACCTGACTTCCAGAGCACACTCTACAGGCCCTGTCAGAGCACTTAACCAGCTGGTACTCACTCCCTGCCCGGTTCTGCCAGCAGAGGCTGTGTCTGGCTCACTCTTCTGTTCCACAGACTAGGACCATGGTGAGATCTAGATAAACAGGATTGAATGCATGAGTGAATCAATAAATGAGTGTACAAAGGGCACAAATTGCCACCACTGAAAGAACTCAGGTGTGCATTGGGGCTGGAATTGTGTGTCCTGATTCCCTAAGGCCAATCCTTTATGATTTTGTATTCCATGACTGACATTTTAACGCTTCCCGTTAAGCTGTAGATTTTTTGACTGGGAATTCATACAGTGAAGGATACCCGTATCTCATAAGTATATTTGAGGTACAGTCAAGAAAATGTTGCAGGGACATATAATTAAGGCAAGTGTATTGAGGCAATTAAAAAATACCCAAATTTCAAAACAGCTTGTTGGATCCCACCCTATCCTCCAATTGAGACTGATCTGACCCAGGTCATGCTTTAGGCCTCCATTTCCCATATGAAGCTATGAGCTTTTTTTTTTTGTCCTCGTCATTTTCATAAAAGTCTAGTTAGTGATTAGGTGAAGCCTCACCACACCACAGCACACTGTCCGTGGCTCACCGTGAGTTCCTCTGCTCTGTTTCCAAAATATATCCCAGTAATATAACATCTAGACTTGCAATGGAGACTACTACTCTCTTTTCCTGTTTATGAATCAACAACCCATTCCCCCCTCAACACATTAAAACTTGAAAAGTGCTCTTGGTGATTCTATTTAAAGAACATTCCCTAATACAAACTCCTGTCGTTCACAGATAGCGACAGAGTAGATTTTCTTCTTTATGCTGTGACTCATGTGTCTTTATTCCCAGACTCAGGGCAGGCCAATGGTGAACACAATGGAAAAGAAAGAATAGTTTATAACTGGAAAATAAGCACATTCAGGAGAAGTACACTCAAAGCATTATCAAAGTAAAATATGCAGCAGCACCAACAAGAGCAAACAAAAGCCCACGCAAGAGATGTGTAAATATTTCATGAAGCTAAGCCTTAATCAACTCTCTCTCCAAATCTTGCTGGGGTTGTAAACACTTCAGTTTCTTTCAGTCCCATCATGACCCAGATTCCCCGCAAAAATAAAATGAAAACATGGACTGAGGGTTCTTTCACAAATGTGTTGTGAAAATTATTCAGGGGGAGCATATCCAGGTTTGCTTAAATGGGAAGAAGGCACCTTAACAAAAGGGGTTGCTTCTTGATGACTCTGAGCTTCTATCTCCCCTCCTCCTCCAAACCCTTGCCTTTTCCCCACCGCGTCTGCTGCTTTCTGGACATTCACATCATCTTAACCTTGAACTGCCTACACTTCAGGCAGCGATTTCTTCCCATGCTTCTCCAGGAGGCCCTTCAAACCCGACGGCTATTTACTGTCTTCCCACCACCCAAAATTCACTTCCCAGTCTCCACAAACCTTTCTTCCCCTGCACCCCCTCTTTTATAGTCCATTGTTGCGTCTGAAATTTTGCTTATATCTTTTAGATCTGCCTGGGTAGCATGAATATCTGTTGTGTGTATCGGCTGGCAGTGTTCTTCAGATCTTTTCCTAAAATCTAGCTCCAAAGAATCGTTTATAGCCTCTAGTCTCTACCCTGATTTAATGGGGTTCCAAAGTTCACCTCTACATACTGAACAGGTCTCTACAATGATTTCTCTTTATCAACCTCTGCCTCCCCTCCTCTCTCCGCCTCTCTCAAGATAACCTATATATATAAGTGTGTATGTGGATAAACACAACATATACATATATACATACATATATGAAATATATGAAAACTATAGTGTTTTGACCCTAAAGAGAATAAGCATGGGAAAATGAGAAAAATACAAGTATAGTATTGCCACACACACACACACTTTGGATATTCACAGTGTGCAGACCCGATGGATTATAACCCCGCGCCTCCGAGCCCAAGAACAAGAACAGCAGACGTTTTCTCCCATTTACCTTCAAAGCCACAGCCTAAGGGAGCAATGACCTTGCAGAGAAATTCATTACCTGCAAGAAAGACGGCCCTTCCTGGAGCGCAGGATGGGATGGGGACAAGAGCAACAGGCAAACGATCATCGGGCAAAACGTGGGCTCGAGTCCATACCCCGGCCAGTAGCGAGGACACCACAAAGCTCCGGTCTCCCGGCCGGACGCTGGGCAGAGGTGGCGCAGGGGGGCGTCTCCTCCCGCCGCCGCCGGGCGCCTACCTGCTCTCGCCGGGCTCTCCCCGGCGCCGCGGGGCCGCTGCCTGCGCTGTGGCGGGGCTTTCCCGTCGCATTTCCCAAGCAGCAGCTCTCGGCGCCACACGGGTAGCTCCGGCGGGCTCCCGAGCGGCGGTCCTTTTTAGCCCCGTTCCGGGAGCTAGCTGGGGGTTTGCAGGAACTGAAATTACTATGCAAAGAGCAGAGGCGGCGCGCAGGAGCCGGGAGGAGACCGCGGGGGCCGCCCCCACCGCGGGGCTGCAGCCGCCGCCGCCGGGCACCGAGCCAAATTGGAGGTGGGGGTTCACGTGCCCGACTGCTCTTCCGTCAGGCCCGGGGTGCGCCCACCTGTCCACGTAGGGCAGCGCCGCCGGGCCAGGGCATCCGAGGAAGGGGCTGCGGCTTCGCAGGCAGCGGCGGCGGCGGCGGCGGCGGCGGCAGGGCGCCGAGCTCCGCCCCCGCCGCACCCCAGCCCAGCCTTCCAGGTCTCCCGGGAAGGCTTCGCTGCGGCGACTTGCTGCGCGCCAGGGGGGAGCGGGGCAGGGCCCGGAGGGTCACGGTTCTGCTGCAAGGTGACCAGAGGCAAGTGGAAAGTTAAGAAAGAGACTAAGGTAGAGGACTGGGGCCCAGAGCGACCCGGCGGGAATTCTGTCCCTTGTGCCTTCCCACAGGTCACCAGACTCCATGGCTGTGTCTAGACTCCAGCCAGCCGGTTCCAATAAAGCCACGTGCAGTGAAAATCTGAGAGCAAGGAACTCCCCGACGTTTCATATGTGTTGCAAACGGGACAGTATCCTGCGCATTTGGAGATGGCATTGCGGACAGTTTTCCTGTCCTTCCCCTCTCCCCCAACCCCATTCATGGGCGTGGATGGCTTTGAAAATCATGCCTGGCAAGTGGCTCCAGTAGTACTAAATGGATGTGTAGTATGGTTCACAGCTAGAGATGGTGCGAATGATACAATGAAAAGAACTATTATTAACTGAATATTGTTGGTAGGCACTATGTAAAATGCCTTATATGCGCCTTCTCTAATTTCCACAACAACTCAGTGAGGTGGGAACTGTTCTCCACTGTACTGGCAAGAACACAGGCTTCCATGTTTTAGACCCTTTGCTTGAAGTCACACCTAGTGACAACTGGGATTCAACCCACTCCAAGATATGTCCTCTCAACTACACAGGACTCAGCCAAGGATCTCGTTGAAATGTGGATTCTGACTCCGTAGGTCTTGTGCGGGCCTTTCTCAGAAGCTCGCAGTGATGTCCATGGTGCTGGCCAAGGGACCAAACTTTCTAAACCACTAGACCGGGGATCTGAACTAAATTAGTTCATGCTAGGTCTAGTTGGTTGATAGCAATTTTCTGAAGGTGGGTTAAGAAGGACTCTATGGCTGTGTCTTGGCTCTTGGTCAGACAATACTGTAATCAATTCATCACTTTCAATTTGGTTGATGTAGAGATGGCTGTGACAATGTGCTGGGTGGCCATCCCCTTCCAAAACAATGGGGGTGGCTATGGTATAATATTTAAGGCATTGGTGCATCAAGGACAGATTTCTTCATTCCAGTTCTCACCCTCATTAAGAAAAGTTTAGTCAAAGTTTTACACCTGACATATGTAACACAAAACATTTGATGGAGCACTCACATAAATAATGTTATCTGTCTTCATAATAACACTATAAGACAAGAATAGTTTCATGTTACAGGAAAGAAAACTGACGTGGACTGATTTTCCTGAGATTAACAATTGATATGCAGGCAGTAGGGGCTAAACTGTGACAGATCTCTCGTTCAGGACTGTTTTTACTATACCACTGTAGTAGTTTCTCCCGCTGCTGCAACGCATTACCACAAATTTAGTGGCTTGATATAACACAAATGTATTAGCTTACAGTTCTGGAAATTGAAAGCCTGAAAACAAGTCTTACAGAGCTAAAATCAAAGGATCAGCAGGGCTATGCCTTCCTTCTGGAGGCTCTGAGGGGACAATCTTTTCCTTCCTTATCGGTCCAGCTTCTAGAAGCAGCCTACACTCCCTGACTTGTGACCACATCACTCAGATCTCAATTTCTATCATCTTATCTCCTCTTATTCTGATCCTTCTGCACTCTTTTTACAAAGACCATTGTGATTACTTTGGGTCCACCCAGATAATTCAAAATAATCTCTCCATCACAAGATCCTTAACTTAATCACATCCACAAAGCCCCCCCCCCTTTTTTTTTTTACGTAAGGTAACATACACATAAGGTCCTAGGGATTAGAATGTAGATATTTTTGGAGGATTATTATTATGCCTAATGAAACTTTGATTGGTACTTATCTTAAATTTTCTACTATACCTTACTCACCCCTCTCTTCTTGATCTCTCAGACTTCTGGGAAGCTGTTTCAATGGAAAAGTTCACTTGAAAGTCATTTAATAGACCATAACAAATGTGTAGTGGCAAGAAACACCCCAAGAACATGAAAAGGCCATGAAAATCCAAGCATATGGTAATGAAAAGGATAGACAGGATTAGGGATGCTTATTGGTCTGAATGACACTGAGGTAGTATTTAGGGGAATTGTTAAAGACCCTCTTTAACAATACAGAATTTTTCAAAATTCTCCTTCTCAAGGCATACACTGTTTGTTCTAGGATAAATAAGGCAATTCAAAACTTGTACAAAATCGTGTGTAACTTCAATTCCAAACCAAGTGATAGTGTTCAAAGTGATGAGAAACATTAAACCAGTATGTCAAACAAAATCAATAAAAATTATTGAACACATTTTATGTTCAAGACATTTATAGAAATACTCTGGTAGAGAAAAGTTTATCATTTTATGGGACACAGCATTTATGAAAAGCGGAATAATAAAAGATCTGAACAGAAGAAATAATAGGAGAAGAAACATGAGATGGTACATGATTAACTGCCAAGTGAATTAGATAAATCTGGAAGTTAGATTTATACTGGAGAGTGGATATAAAACTGGAAAGGTAGGTTGGAAAGGTTGCGCTGCTTAGGATCTTAAATGTCAAACCACGGAGTTTAGGCTTCCCCTGCAATAGTAACACTGATAATAACACTGTATGTTCACATAGGGTAAGTTACCAAGCACTTTTTGTATGTTTTCAGTCGCTTGACTTCGGCCCCTAAGCCCCCAGAAAAGCAGGCCTGTGCACGCATGCCACACACAAGGGAGGAAATGCAAGCCTCTTATCAAAGAGATGTTTTTGACCATTCTATGTAAAATCGCAGCTCCCCTTCCCACTTACCTGTCATTCTGTTGTCTTCCTTACCCGTCCTTTATGTTTTTACACTGGGCCCACTACTGCATCCTGATAGAGTATATATTTGTTTATTGATATCTACTATTTATGAGGGCAGGGACTTTAGTTCACTGCTATTTCCTTATCGCCTAAAATAGTGTCCAACACTTATTAAGTGCTCAGGAAATATTCTTGAATGGATCATGATCTCCGATTTAGAAATCAGGAACCCAAATCCCAGATGTTTAAATGACCTTTGTGATGTCCAACAGCTTAAAATGCCTTTACCAAGACTGAAGCCCAGTGTCTAGCCCAATGCTTTTTTGATAGACTATTTCCCTTCTGAGTGAAAGCTGTTAGTCATGTTTAAACAGAGGCAGCAATGTATTTGAAAAAGATAAGAATTTGAGAGTACGAGCTTCTCTAAATGTCACATCTTTCCTAAAACTTCATCCATTTAGCTGGATTGGCAAGAAGCATTGGCAAGACAGAGTTACCAACAGTGGATTCTGGTGGGCTGCCATCAATCCCTTGTTAGTTAGCACTGACTAATACTGTAAGTTGTTTTGTAAGCGTTCTGTTAATTCATGTGCATGTATCTTGTCACTCTGGATTGTAGGTTTTTTGGTCTCAGGGACCATAACTTCTATTTCTTTTATTTATTAAAAATTTTTTTAATGTTTATTTATTTTTGATAAAAAGAGAGAGCACATATGGGGGAGGGACAGGGAGAGAGGGAGACACAGAATCGGAAGCCGTCTCCAGGCTCTGAGCTGTCATCCTAGAGCCTAATGAAGGGCTAGAACCCATGAACCATGAGATCATGACCTAAGCTGAAGTCAGACACTTAACTGACTGAGCCACCCAGTCACCCCTATTTCTTTTATATCCCTGCATTCTGCCCAGTACTGGGCTCTAAATAGACATCACTGCATGGTTACAAGGAGGCTGCCATCACTACAAAAATTATTTTATTAAAGGGCATCTGGGTGGTTCAGTCAGTTAAGCGTCCGACTCTTGATGTTGGCTCAGGTCATGATCTCACAGGTTTGTCAGATTGAAACCCACATCAGGCTCTGTGCTGACAGTGTGGAACCTGCTTGGGGTCCTCTGTCTCTCTCTCTCTCTCTGCCCCTCCCCTGCTCGTGCACATGCACACGCTCTCTCTCTCAAAATAAATAAACTAAAAAAAAAAAATTCTATCATTACACACCACATTTAAAACAACGTAGGAGATCTGAATATGCCACTGCAAAATATGCCACTTTGTCATTAAGGATTGTTTTGAGCTGGAGGCAAATGGGTATCAACAGATGCATAAGAAAGCTTTCTTGGAGCTTTCCTTATCTGACTAAAAGAAAACTTTTGAGAAATGAGGACGGCTATAAGCTCCTTTCCTGGGAAGTCTTGTGGCTATAAAGAAGATGGAGAGCCAGCCCCAAGATGGGTCTGCAAACAAATCTTACTTTCATTAGGTTCCCCTCATTTACCTTGCCTCACACTTTGCTGCCCCTAAAAGCCTATACCCTTTTTTCCTTTGTCTTGTCATTTCTCTACAAAATGATTGTTCTTTCTTAGGATAAACCCACCCATTTGAGTCATACATCACCGAGTTTCTACTGGATCTATGCACATCGCACAGGTAAATAAATGCAGTTTCTTTTTCCCTTGTTAATTTGTCTTTGTCTGTGTAATTTATAGGGCCTCAGCTGGAGCAGTTAGGAGGGTAGAGGAAAAAGATTTTTTTTCCTCCTTTATAACAGGAAGAAAAGAACTCCTGAGGGAAAGGGAACCTTCAATTTTTTTTCATGGAACAAAAACATTTTCCAGAACTCACTCTCCTAGTCCCAAATCACTGGTCAGAATTTGGTCACCCAATCACCCAGGGAGGCTCTGAAAGTGAGCACCTTGCAAGGAGGAATGGACTTGCCTTGATTTTTCTAGGCTAGACATCCTGGTGCCCCAATCACAATTGAGGTTCTGTTAGTAAGAGAGAAGGAAGGTCGGCCCTAGGACCATCCCTTAGCAGTGTCTTTCTCAGACACTAAAGTGACTCACATTCAGGCCTGTTTGGATGTTCCCTGTCAATATCCGAATTTCTGGAA